CAGGGCTGCCTCTGGAAAACAACCCTGGTCAACAAGGCCAGTTCCCTGTGTGGGGGCTTCCCTCATAGCTGTGGGCCCCACAGCCCCTCCCCTGGGCTCTGGGGTGGAGTCCCCGAGTCCCCTTTGCTGTTGCTCATCCCACGTCTCTGATGAAGCTCCTATCATTCTCTCTCTAAAGGTCTGGGTCTTCCTAGAAAGACTATCAGAGCAATAATCTTTCCAGTCCTTCCATACAACCCCTAGCCCGGAGAAGGCACTCAGGGACCCACAGGAGAAGCAGGATACAGACAGCTGGGGGGGTGGGGGGGGACGCTGCTCCCCCTCCCCCCACCGAGAGGGCAGGACAATGCCAGTCTGGCTTCTCCGGGCTGTTTGCAGAGCAGCTTTGAAATGTCCCCCGCTTAGGACCAGAGCTTCTGGTACGTGACCTAAACACTGAATGTTATGGGACTTTGGTTGTCATCAGAACCAGGCTCCATATGACCAGCATGTGGCAGCATCTCACCTCACAAGCGGAGGCTGAGCTGGCTCTCACTTTGTCCCTCGCCCCGCAGTTTAGTGAAAGGCGTGAGACCTGCCTTCTTAGCCCCTGGGCTCTGGAGTTAGGCAGGCATGGGCTCAAACCTGCGCCCTCTCTCACAGGACGGACCTTGTTTTGTCGCACTTCACAGATGTGTGTTTATATAACTGAAGGCCCACCTCCAGCAAACGATTACATGGCTTCCTGGTGACACTTGCTTTATTGTGGTGGTTGGTGACCAAACCCACACCCGCAGCACCCCGAGGGGGGTCTGCCTGCTCTAGTGTGGGCCCCAGTGCACTTTCTAAATTCTCCGCCCCCCCTTCATTTCCTCCTCTATGAAATGAGGGTGGTCTTGGGCTGCCCAGATAGGGTTGTTCGAAGCATTTAAAAAGTTATTTAGTGAACAGTATTTAGCAAGATGCCTGGACCATGGAGAAAAGATTAATAAATTATTTATTACTGTTGTTGTAGTTTTTCTTTTTTTTAAGCCTCCATCCTGTGCCCTCTCCTGGGGCAGCAATGGGACACGTCCTGGCACTTGCCAGGCCAGTGGAGGGGCAGTGGCGGGTGCGAAGTGGAGTCAGGAAGCACAGGAGGCCACATAATGAGACCAGCTGGGCCTGCAGGCCCGTCAGAAAGCAGCAGGGCTTGAGCCTGGCCTTCGAAGAACCTGCCTGTACGGGCAGGACCAGCCACAACCGTGGCCAGGGCACGTCCCCAGGGCAGGGCTCCTGAGAGAGCTTTCAGGCCAGCCCTGCCCTCAGACACCTCCCCACTGGGCCTGTGACTGCGCAGGCTGCCCACCCTCTGCGGGGCTCAGGCACTTGGTGGGTGGGGACAGGAGCCCACAGTGGGCCGATGGATGGCGGCTGTGAAATGCCAGACAGGGCAGCACAGTATCCACTGCACCGAGTGATGCTGTCGTGTAACTATCTGTGACGGTCATTACACCCAGGGATGAACTCAGAGGCCTCACTCTCCTCCCACCAGTAAGACTGTCTGTCTCCTCCCTCCCTGGGAACAGGGACTCTTCCTGTGATTCTGGCTCTCTGCTGCCTCCTCCCTGGAGCCCTCCTCAGCCCCACTGCGTGGAGGGTTCCTCCCTGGGTGTGTGTGTGTGTGTGTGTGTGTGTGTGTGTGTGTGTGTGTCACAGTCCTCTGCAGGCACACCTGTGGCACAGGGCTGGTGTCCCTGACTCATCTCCCTACAGCACTGGAAGGCCCTGAGTGCAGGTACCTGTCTGGCCTAGCACAGTCCTCCTGGGCCCCAGTGTAGTGCCCCAAGGGTCATGGACACTGGCTGCTTATGGCAGGGATGACATCCGAAGACATTGTATAGTGACAGCATTTTAAAATGTGCTTGTAGTCGGCGGTGTGGTACCCTTAGACGTCCCAGGAAGAGAAATTTGTAAACATTCTCTTCAGAGTCTCCCTGCCTCTGTTAATATTTATAGCCTATGGCATGTTTGCAGGTGGACCTCTCAGTGGGGCAGTGGCCTCAAAATGTCACAGAGCATCAGGGAGGATGGCTGGGGTCCCCAGGCCGGCAGCTGTGCAGCTGGCCACTTCACAGTTCTCGGGAAATGATGGCAGGATGTCCCAGCAGCTTCTGCGCCCTGATTGTGGGTCTGGTCTGAAATGCACCTTGTAATTCTGTGCACTTGCATTTGGCCCAATGCCCGGGAAACCTGATATGGAAATGAACTTGGTGTCTTCATTTACACTAAGCCCTGTCTGTACTGTACACACACGGAGGAAGGGAAAGCTGCCCCCAAAACATACATATAAAAACATGTACACACTGCCTGGCTAGCATGGCTCAGTGGTTGAGCATTGATTCATGAACCAGGAGGTCAAGATTTGATTCCCAGTCAGGGCACACATGCTCAGATTGCAGGCTTGATCCCCAGTGTGGGGTGTGCAGGAGTCAGCAGATCAATGATCCTCTTTCATTATTTATGTTTCCATCTCTCTCTCCCTCTCCCTTCCTCTCTGAAAATAATAAACATATATTTTAAAAAAATGTACACACTAATAAAACATACACACACAACACACACACAAAATACCCATAGCATATATAATACACACATAACATATACACAAAACATATACAACCACAAACACACAACACACAATAATATAAACACACAAAATACAAAACACATACACATAAAATACATAAACACTTTATGAAAATATATATGTTCACAAAGTATATACACATAAAGCATATAAACACCCCCATACACACATACAAAAATAAGTGCACCAAATACACACACAGGCAGAAAAATATTGCATGTCAAAAGTCTGAATGGTTATAGCTCTATAAATGGTTAAGGAGTGGTTAGATAAGTGAAAAAAAGATTTGTTAAATTAGATTCCTTAAAAGTCTTTAAGTCCTGGCCAGTTAACTCAGTTGGTTAGAATGTTGTCCCAATAAGTTAAAATTTCAGGTTTGATAACTGGTCAGGGCACATAAAAGAATCAACCAATGAATACATAAATAAAGAACAACAAATCTCTCTTTCTCTCTCTCTCTCTCTCTCTCTCTCTCTCTCTCTCTCTCTCTCTCTTTCTCTCTCTCCCCCCTTCTCTCTCTTTAAAATCTATCAATAAAAAAAATTTAGAATTCATTGTGTGATGCAAAATTTTCAAAAGTATGTAAGGAAGATATGTATATGCTTTGACCCAGCAATTACACTTCTAGGAATTTATCCCAGGAACATAGTGATATATGCAAAGGTTTAATACCAAGCATATTTAGCATGGTATTGTATATAACAGTATGAAAATGAAGAACTGAATGTTCGGAGATTAGTGTAATAAGGTTTATCCACAGGTGTCCTCTTCCTCAACCTCCAACAAATGAAAACGCAAATGAGCAAACAGAGAGCATCTGTTGTGCATCAACGGTGACCAGATTACCAGGTTACTGAGATTGTGTGGGGGGCACTACAGGGACTTTGCATTGAGTGCTCTACACCCACATCACACCCCTTGCTGAGGAGACCCCCCTCTCCACTCCCTCCCTCTGGAGCCCAGGGCAGGGTCTCCATAGGCCCATTTCCTGCAGACCCCACAGGGCTCCTCCCATCCCATGTCCTCCTGGGCTCTGGGAACAGGAGTGCCTGCCTGGGAGGCAGGTTAGTGATGGTCTTGACTTTGCTTTTTCTTCATCTTTCCCTTCACTGTCTCATCCCCATCCCAAAGATTTATAAAGAAATTCTCCCAAGATCTCTTTCTTAGAAATTTAACAGACAAAACAGGGATTTTAACTCCAGCTCTCAAGGATATAACCTTTTTCTAGGCCTTTAACTGAAGAATGAAGTAACTTGCAGCGATAAAAAAAATCCTGTTGTAGAACAATATTGATCACATGAAATGACCGGTGGTATCATATTGAGTAGAAAAAGCAAGATGCATTGTAGTAGGAAAGGCATGTTGCAAAAGGATCTACAGATCTACAGAACACCTTTCTGTCTGCATGTATGTAGATGTGTGCATGGAAAACCATAGAAGGAGAGGCCATTTAAGGGACGGAGCCACCACACGCTCATAAAGGCGTGTTCTAGTCCTGTGCTATTGGAAATAGGTGTGTGATCAGAGGTTATTGCTTAATCCCTTAACCTACTATGTCTTTTGTCTGGAAAGCAGTGAGGACAGTACCTCCCAGCGGATTGTCAGAGGATCAGAAAGATGAAGACAGAGAGCCCTGGGCTGGGCCCAGGCCCAGCAGGTGCGTGCACACTTGGCCAAAACTGGGTGTTGCTTTGTTCTCGCATTCGGGGGTGCTGGTGGTGGTGCCCAGAAGCTGTGATCTTACTTGGCTGTGTGGACTTTGATCTGAATTGACTGCTGGTTTGGTATTGTGAGGCTCAGCTATCCTTATGACTGGACTGGACAGGAGCAAATACAGCGCAAAGCACACGGGAACACCCTGCGGGCTGTAGGGAGAAGCTGGTCATTGGGGGAGCTTTGCACATTCCCGCTGAAGGAAAGGTGAAGGGAGGTGTTGGTGATGTCCTGGAGAGCGTCCTGAAGAGAGATGCTAGGAGGGCCGTTTTCTTGGGAATGTGGGCGTTACACCTGGGACTGGGGCAAAGAACCCACGTGAGGGCAGGGACTTGCTGCGGCACCGAGTCACTGCCTGACCATCTTGTGTCTCCTTTTTCTTCCCTAAGGTCTCGTCCCCTCCCCTCTGTTGTGGGCGGACATGGAAGCCCCGCCATCTGTCTTGAGCACCTTGAAATGTGTTTCAGGGAGGTGGCCCAGTCCTTGGCAGAATGGCACTGCCCTGTAGGAATTTTGCTTATGTGCACACATTGCAAAATGGCCCTCGATGATGATGATTATAACCTAAGATGCTGTTATCATTGTCTAAAGGAATGTTGTTGTGGCTTTTGTATATATACTCCCAAACTCTGTCTATTCATACCAAGGGTAAAGCCTGGTTCTGCCACGTCAGAGATTCTGAGGACAAAGACCAGAGCTCCAGGGGACCAAGACAGAGACACAGATTGAGGAGATCCAGGTAGGTGGTCCTCACCCCCAGTCCCTCCCTGGCACAAAGGGCCAGCAGACAAGATAGGGAACCAGATGCCCTCCCACCCCCTCTGCTGTTTCAGCCAAGCAGCCACACACTGTCTCCTAGGATGGCTTCCCCAAGGAGCAGGGCCTTGCTGCAGGGCCAGGCCCACATGGAGCTTAGGACACCTCAGGGACATGCTGATACCGGGTCCAGAGGCTGAACTGATTTCCAAGTCTGGGAAGCACTGGACTTCAGAAAAAGATACGGGGTCCCCACATTTTGAGTGTCCCTAGGTGGGAAGAGAGGGATCTCAGATGCCTAACACTCTGCTTCTTTAGGGAGCCTTGTGGACCCCACTTGATGTAGGTGGCCCCCATAAGCAGCTTCCAGAGATACCAGAGGCCTCCCTCCTGGGCGTCACCCTGTTCTCCCCAGCAATACACATTTGAGCACCCACATTTCTGCTAGCCACCTCTTGTCTGGTGGCCCGTGGCTGCTAAATTCTCTGCTTTCTTCTCTGTGTCCCTTATTTACCCCCCAAACTGCAAAGGTAATTGGGCTTTGTGGGTTCAGGGGATGTAGACAGAAACCAAACATAAAACCAAATAGCAGATACCTGTGCATCCCTTAAAGCCCCTCCAGGCTCCCCACCTCAGGGCCTCAGTGGCCATCCTCAGCTTTCCCCACAGTCCTGGCTGCCGGGCGCTGGAGCCCTTCCTTTTCATGGTTATTTTTTGTGAAACTATTTACTTCCCTCTGTCACATGCTGAAGCCATTCTTGGAGGTTTGGTTTTCCATGTAAACTGACCATCTACAATGTTTTAAAAAATATATAGTTTATTGAATTTTGAGAGACAGAGGAAGGGAGAGGGAGAGAGAGAAACATTGATCAGCCACCTCCTACCAGGGATCAAGCCCTCAACCTGGGCATGTGCCTGATTTGGAATTGAACCAGCAACCTTCTGGTGCATGGAAGGGCAGCCAGCCCCCGGAGCCACACTGGCCGGGCCCCCTCTGCAATCTTAACAGTGGTGTGGCCCTTGAGAAGTCGCCTCAGGGTTTTCTTTTTGAAAAAATTTCATCTTGAATATTTTCAAGAACAAGAATTCTTGCCTCTGCCCTCACAGTGCTGCCCTGAGCTGCCCTGGGGAAGATTCTGTGTGAACTGAGTGAGAAGTGATGCATGATATTGGGGAAGAGGGGTCCCTGTGTCAGCCTCCTTAACACAGCAAGAGCTGAGCCTCCTGGGAGAGTTTGGAGGCTCCATTTTCCATGACAAGAGGCTGAAAAGATATTGCTTTTCTTTGCAAAGCTTTGACTTTGAGGAGGTTGTGTGTGTGTGTGTGTGTGTGTGTGTGTGTGTGTATGTGTGTGATTTTTTTTTTCTGTAAAGGTTGGGACAGTCAGTGTTATAGGCTTTATTATCTATCCTTGAATACTCCTCTCTGCTGTGTAGCTAGAGAGCAGTCACAGATGACATACAGATGACTGTGTTTCAATAAAGCTTTATTTAAAAAACAAGAGTGGCCCCTGGCTGGAGTGGTTAGAGTGTCATCCCAATATGTCAAATTGCAGGGTAGATACCCAGTCAGGGCACATATAAGAATCAATCAATGAATGTATAAGTGGAACAACAACTTGATGTTTCTATATCTCCCTTCCTCTCTCTTTCAAACCAAACCAAACCAAACCAAACCAAACCAAACCAAACCAAACCAAACCAAACCGGAGTGGATGACTTGGCCTATGGACTATAGTTTGCCAGCCCTAGGATTTGCGCAATGAGTTTGAACTGTCTGTCATTTTTATAAAATGTTGTCAAGATCCATAAAAATGGTATTGTGACCCACAGGTTGGAAAGCGTCACTTTAAAGGGTGGAAATCAAAGGAGCGCTGGAGGGAAGAGCACGGTTAGCCGGGCAAGGCTGCCCTGATGCACTAACAATTCGGGGCAGAGAGGGCGGCCGGCGGCATGCTGCACACGCAGGGCGTTGGCAAGGTGTCCTAGGTCAGGTGCCATGACAGTGTCCTTCCTGTCCCCCAGGCCCTGCCCTTACCCCAGGCTCCGGGTCATTTCATCACCCTGACCATGTCCTGTCAGGCGGAGAGCGCAGGAGCACAGATGGACTCTGCAGATGGGGAAGGGGTCGGAGCCCAGGGCTGCGCAGGTGAGGTTCTTGTGAAGATCTGCCTCCGCCCACTCCCCCCACTCCCAGACCCTTTGAGCAGCAGTGCACAGGCCCCTGCCTCCGGGACCCTGCATGGGTGAATTTGAGGTCAGAAATCCTCAAAAGGAGATGAAACTTCGTCACAGGAGACCAGGCAGCCGGTGGTGGATAAATGGGTCAACTTCATCAGCAGCTCAGGGCATGACATCCTGACTTGCCATCGTCATCGGATGATTTTGAACCCTCCACTGGCACCTGTGTCCTGCCTGCCAAGCCCAGCCGGGGAGGGGCCTGTATGGGGTCTCTGAGTCTGGCGGCCAGTGACCCAGCGCTTCTGAGCATTTCCGGGAGGAAGCACTGGGCACTGACTCAAGGGAGACATTAAAAGCAAAACACTGACTCCCGTGGCTGTCCAGTGCGCGGGTGTGAGGGGAGGGGCCTGGACCGTGCCAGAGGCCACATCCCCGAGGCCACATCCCCGAGCTGTGGACTCACACGTGGCCCTCACAGTTGGAAGCTAAAATCAGGACGTTGGTCTGACAACTGCGGGTCCACTAAGGGTAACAATGGGAGGTCGGGACGCACCTGCTCCTGGCACAGGGCTGTGGGTGGCTCCTGTGAAGCGGGGAGTGGGCTCTGGGCAGGCCCGGGCCCAGGAACTTGGAACTGTGACACTGAGCCATGTCCTGTGCTGCCTCTGTCATCCGTGCCCTCTGCTTCTCGGAAGCCTGGGGCTGCCGGAGCCAGGGACATGTGGGGACATGTGGGGTCATATGGGGACACAAAGCCCCGTGCGCCCTGAATTTGGTTCCTCCGGCGGGCGCCCCTCAGGCTTGGCGAAGGATACTCTGCCCTGAGCTGTGCACATGCTATGGCGGGTTCAGCACTCAGCTCCAGTTCACCTCAGTTCCCCAGCATTTTCGACCAGAAAAGCTATTTTTAATGTCATCATTGCCTCTCTTCTTAGTGTTGTGAAAACACACACAAACAAGGAAGGCATTGAATGGCCCCTGGTGCTCCTGGCCCCTGACACACCCTACCTCACCGTCTCTCATTCCAGACCCAGCCCACGGGGCCATAGAGCCCGGCCGGAGTCTCACCTCGCTCAGCTTGGCCAATGCAGGTATGGCTGGACCTGGACGGGATGGGGTGGGGAGGATACCTCAGGGCACACTCAGGGGAGGGGGAGAAACAGATGGGGGACACCTATGGGTGCCATGGGGGGCTGATGCTTCTCCTTTGTAGAAGCTCATCTCAGCAGGGCCAATAGGAAAGATGGGCTTTGGTTTCTGCAGAGAGAGGAGGGCACACAGACCTCTGAGTGGCTCCGGAGAAAGAATGCTTTGAGCCTGGGAACCTTCCAGGTTCCTCTTCTGACTGTTGCTGGCAATCGTGACTTCCCTACAGCACCCATGAAAACCAGGAACTGGGCAGGAGGGGCATGGGGGACCCACCCCGCGGGACCCATCCCACAATAACCCAGGTGAAATGTTAGCATCACCACGTGCTCGGTGCAGACACTGAGTGAGAGAAAGGGCTCCCTGCCCAGATGCGCAGGGGGAGTGAGCGACCAGTGCTGGGGTCTGAGGAGCTACAACATTTCTCTGCCCAAGTCAGGTTTCAGGCTCCCACAGCCCTCTCCCAGGCAGAGTCAGGAGCCTGTGGCCTGAGTCCCAGCTCCACCGCAGGCCATGGGGGCACACCGAGCCTCAGTCCCGCCTGGGGAAAGGGCAGTGAGCCCCACAGGAGAAGAGGTGCACACGGTGCCAAGATGGCCCCGTTCCCTGGGAGCCACACTGCTGCTGCCTCAGGGATTTGGTTGGGTTTGGCTGCATGGGTGGAAGTGTCTGCTCCTGCAGGTGCTCCTGCCCACCTCAGGTTGTGGTCCCTGGACCAGCAGCAGCAGCAGCTCCTGGAAATCTGTGGGGAATGAAGCGTCTCTGGGTCCATGTAGACTCTCACATTAGGTACTCGGGGTCTGAGACTCAGGAGGCTGTTTGCGCAGCCGTCTGGGTGACTGCACAGCAGTGGGGGCCACTGCTCGGCAGGAAAGACATCAGTCCTTGGAAGATGATGCTGTACCGAGGCCTTTGGAAGGACATTGGAAGGATGGATTGGGATCGGGAAAGATGGGCGAGAGGAGATCACAGGCCTGAGTGGAGATGGGGGCCCATGCCAGGCGGGAACAGAAGTAAGAGGGCAGAATTAGGAAATACAGGGTGTCCCAAAAACGTATGCACACTTTAGTGGATGATAGTTCATTTTGAAAAGGAAATCTATTTTAATAATCACTGTCTTCATTATTATTCAAAGTGTGCGTGCATTTTTGGGGTTACCCTATATTTAAGAATTTAAAGGCATGATGTTAGTGCTAGAAATGCAGCTTACATAACTTGTCTGGGTGTCACTCTGGACCAATCGAATCAGACTCTCAGGGTGTGAAGCCCAGGCACCCATGGTCTTAAAATATCACCCACCAGGTGGTCCAATGTGCAGCCAGATGGCGCTTAGACCAGCAGCAGTGCCAGCCTCGGGGCTGATGGGAAGGCAGAGTTGAAGGTGAGGTCAATGTTTGAGAAGTTGGAAGGTTTAGAGTTTATCTGGTTTCATGATTCTGAATCAACCTGCATCAGTCCCATGAACTCAGAATGTCTACGGGGGGGGGGGGGGGGGGGCCACGGGGGGGTGGTAAGAGGGAACGGGGGAGAAGGGCAGAAAGCTCCTGGGGAGATTCTAGTGTAAGCTAGGCTGTGACCCTTGAACCTCACGTGACCCTTGGACCTCACATGACCCCATGTCATTGCAGTTACTTAGGGTCTGGCCTGGGCCACCTACCCTGTCATAAGCACCGAGGGTCCATGACCCTTGGGACAGTACGCTGGGGCCCAGGAGGACTGTGCCAGGGCAGACAGCTACCTGCACTCAGGGCCTTCCAGTGCTCTAGGGAGATGAATCAGGGACACCAGCCCTGTGCCACAGGTGTGCCTGCAGAGGACTGTGACCCCCCAGGGAGGAACCCTCCACGCAGTGGGGCTGAGGAGGGCTCCAGGGAGGAGGCAGCAGAGAGCCAGAATCACAGGAAGAGTCCCTGTTCCCAGGGAGGGAGGAGACAGACAGTCTTACTGGTGGGAGGAGAGTGAGGCCTCTGAGTTCATCCCTGGGTGTAATGACCGTCACAGATAGTTACACGACAGCATCACTCGGTGCAGTGGATACTGTGCTGCCCTGTCTGGCATTTCACAGCCGCCATCCATCGGCCCACTGTGGGCTCCTGTCCCCACCCACCAAGTGCCTGAGCCCCGCAGAGGGTGGGCAGCCTGCGCAGTCACAGGCCCAGTGGGGAGGTGTCTGAGGGCAGGGCTGGCCTGAAAGCTCTCTCAGGAGCCCTGCCCTGGGGACGTGCCCTGGCCACGGTTGCGGCTGGTCCTGCCCGTACAGGCAGGTTCTTCGAAGGCCAGGCTCAAGCCCTGCTGCTTTCTGACGGGCCTGCAGGGCCACTGCCCCTCCATTGGCCCTGCAAGTGCCATGATGGCTTCCCCCAGGCACTGCTGGGTGCAGAAGAGGGGTTAAGAAGAATAACGATGAACATAACGATTAACAGCTCTCTGTCTGAGTTCTTTCCATACTCAGACACCTGGCTAAGTGTGGTTCATTTGTGTAACATTTTAATCCTGTCAACATCCCTGCGAGGTAGGTGCTGTTCTTACCCCATTTTGTACTTGAGGACATGGAAGTTGGAGAGATTAGGTGACGTCTGCTATGTGCTGGAGCAGTGAGTCACAGAGCTTGGAGCTGAACCCATGTGTCAAAATTGGGAACCCATGTGCTCTCACATGTGCTGAATTGCTGGTCTGGAGCAAGGCAGGGAGCCTGGGGTGGGGAGGTCTTCAGGGGGCTGATCTCTGCGCCCACAGGCAGGAAAGGGGCTGGGCTGGGACCCTCCCTCTGGCCTAAGAAGGATTGAGTTTTCCATTTTCAATGTGAAGTATTGACATCTGGTTTTATTCATCTAGATCCAAAAGTGAAGTTCCCAAAACCACAGACATTTACCTTTCATGACTGTGACCAAAAAGTATTGGTGCTGAACAAAAGGACACTCATAGCAGTTCACAAAAAACCCAACATACACCCAGGTGACTTTCTCTCTCTCTCTCTCTCTCTCTCTCTCTCTCTCTCTCTCTCTCTCCTGTTTTCTGTCTCCCAAGTCCTTCCAGCTGGGGCTCAGCTCAGGCTGTAGGAGGACACCTCCAGCTCCAGCAGGGGCAGGCAGTGGGCAGAGGAGCCCTGGGGACTGCTGGGAATGCAATGGTGGAGTGGAGATCTGTGAGGGCGCAAGATCTGAGGGGATTCTTTCTGGTCTGTGGGGGAGGAGGAGGCTTGCACCAAGTGAAGGAGCCTGCAGCCCCACAGACAGAAGGCTCATCCCTGCTCTGAGAATGACCCTGTTTTTTGTGACTGTCTTTTCCCAGAGACCTTCTATGTCTTAGCCGCTCATACGGGCTCAGCGGATGACAAGGAAAACCTCGTTTTCCTGGCAGTCTCAAAAGGAGAGCTCTGTCTTTGCTGTGAGATGGACAAGAAGAAAGGCCGGCCGGTCCTCCAGCTGAAGGTGAGCATTCCCACCCAGCGTCCTGTCCTCTGAGCCACCCCAAAGGGGAAGGGCAGGCCTGGCAGTGCCACTCACTCCCCACTATGCTTCTCCCTTTGGCCGGCGCCACAGGAGCCCCCTGGGGAAAGCCAGGAGAGAGCTGCTGGCCCTCCTTGGCCCTGGGCTCCAAGATCCCACAGCTGAGGTTTCCCTGGGCAGAGGCTGAGCTGCTGACCACTCCCTTCTACCTCACAGGAGCAGAAGCTCAGCTGGCTGTCTAACTCAGTCACAAAAGATGTGAAGGGCTTCACCTTTTACAGGAGGCATATAGGCTGCCGGAACTCACTGGAGTCTGCGGACCACAAGGGCTGGTTCATCAGCACCCGCCATGAGAATGAAGCTGTCAGAATGACAGACAAGCTTGGGGGAGAGGAGTTCATCGAGTTTAAATTTATGAAAGTCAGCAACACTCCAACAAGCCCCAATGAGGTCAGCGAGTAGGACACAATCTCGATAACTTTCTAGTTTTGCATTCAGCTGCTCAAAAAATAAAGAAATAATATCGGAAAATTAAATGCTTCACTTTAAGGAGAGAGTAGGCCTTTACTGCTTCACATAGTCAGATCTTCATTTTTGTCATCTGCATTTAAAAGAACATTTCTCAGTAAGTTGCATTGAAAATCCACAAAAATTAAGCATGTGGTGAAAAAAATGTACCAATATGCATTTCCTGCATTCTCTGCTAAATACTTTCATGTAGTCAATAAAGATCTGAGTATGTTACAAAAACCGGTTGGCTCAGTGGATAGAGCGTCAGCCTGAGGACTGAAAGGTTTCAGGTTCGATTCCTGTCAAGAGCACACATACCTTCGTTGCAGGCACATCCCCAGTAGGGAGTATTCGAGAGGCAGCTGGTAGATGTTTCTAACTCTATCTCCCTTCCTCTCTGTAAAAAAAAAAAAAAATCAATAAAATATATTAAAAACCAAACAAAAACTAATTTGCTGAAAGTACAAAGACCAAAAGTTTATTGTAATTAATCAACTAAATTTGATTTTGTCAAACTATTTTTTGCATTTATGAAATAGGTTTAGTCACTAGATTTTGGCAGGTTAATATTAGAAGTTGGTAATAAATATACATGTACATGTGCACTGAACTGCAAGGTAAAACGTATTTCAAAGAGTGCACTGTAGTAAAAAAGAAGTTTGAAAAGCACGATTTCCTGGTTATGAAAGAGGTCGGCCCCGTGGGAACCTACAGAGCTTACTTAGTTTAGCAACTTGGCCCAGGTGTGGGCTCTGAGGCTGACACTCACCATCACTCAATGTCTCTCGGTGTCATGGCGCCCTCTGCTGGTCACAGAAAGCACAGCTGATGGCTGCATAGCCACCAGGCCTTTTTTCTCTGTCTCCCCTTCCTCCCCCCCTTGCCCAGGACAGGTGGTAGTAAAGGTAATTCAAGGTCTCTGGATGCCCTGGCAGCTGGGCCTTCTCTGTAGCAGGACCCAAGAGGATGGTTCTTTAAGGGGTTTGCGATGAGCCAAACACTTTCATTTGTGAACCTAAGGTGAGCAAGGAGGTGAATAGCATCAGCTTATAACAAACAGGTCTTGGGGTCTCACTACAGAGCTTTTGGGGTGGACAGTGTGGAGGGCTGTACTCAGGGGAGTGGTGTGAAGGAAAGGAAAGTGAACACCCTGGAGCAGTTATGGCCTACCACAGGAACCAGGTGATGTGTGCCCTTGAGCCCCAGGTGGAGTGCCCTGTCTTCTCCTGCCCTACACCTGTGAGACCGACCCTGTGGCCAGTTTCCAAGGTCTCCTGTCCTGCCTCCTATTTGTGGTCAGGCCACAGGAGATCAGAGAAAGGGGAGAGTTAGGTTAGCGTGACCCCCTCACCAGCTCCAGTCCTCTCCTACCCTGTCACCACCCACCCCCTGCCCCTTCCTGTCTGGAGGAAGTGATGGACTTCAGCGTGGCAGCTGATCCTTCTTCATCTCCCAGGATTTCTCTGGACTGGCCTTCGCACACTCCCTCACACCCTGTGAGTGTGCCCCTGTCCCTAGCCAGGGCACATGCCTAAGAGCTTGCACTTTATTGCCTCAGCAATAGGGAGTCATTGAAGGCTTTAGAGAACAGTGCAAGAGCAGATGTGTATTCTGGAAAACTCTGTCTGACTGAAGAGAGCAGGATGGCCTGAATCAGTGAGGGCTGGAGGCAAGTGAACCACTAACCGGCAGCAAGGGGAATCCAGGTGACACACAGTGGTCTGGGGTCTGGGGTTAGGAATGTGGAAAAGCTGAGCCATCAAATGAGCAAGCCAGCTGCACATATTCCTTGATAAGTAACTTAAAAAAGCTGGGAACTCAATGTTTTGTTTTTGGGGGTGCAAAAATCAGTGTGTTAAACGTGTCACACACAGGGCAATGTGCTTTGCCCTGTGTCTCAGCCCCTGTCCCAGCCTCACAGGCTGGGAGGGTGGCTGGGAGTGGACTCTTCAGTACACACAGTTCCTGGGTCTTTCTAGCCCCACAGTTCACTCCTGGACTAGTGTCTAACCTAAGTGTAACGTGAGGTGCAAGTGTGAGCCATGTAGGGAATTTAAAATTTTCTGGTAGGCATATTAATAAAAGTACAAAGAAAGAATGAAATTTAAAATATACAAAGATTTCTTAAAACTCATTCATATGAGAACAAACAACCCAAAACTGGGCCAAAAAAATTGAAGAAGACATTTCATCAAAGGAGATTTGCATATGAAAAGAGGCTCCACATCCTGTCATCAGGAAAATGCAAATTAAAAAGTAAGGGGATAGCACAATGTACCTATCAGCATGGCCCAAATCCAGAATACTGACAATACCCAGTGCTGGTGAGGTTATGGGACAGTATTGCTGGTGGGGGTGCAAACGTTATAGCCACGTTGGAGACAGTCTGGCAGTTTGTTTTTTAACAAAGCTAAACACAGTCTTGGCATATGATACAGCAATGGCACTCCACACAAACATTTGCAAGCAAATTTTTATAGTAGCTTTATTAATCATGGCCCAAATCTAGAAGCCATCGAGCTGTCCTTCAGTAGGTGAATGGACATAAAGCTGATGCCCTTTGATATTTTGCTTGGAGTACAGAAAACATCTCATAACCATGGAGGAAGAGCCTGGACCTGAGATGTCCTTTTATATTTCGCTTGGAGGAGGGAACGTAGCTCTGACCCATGGAGGAAGAACCTGAGGAGTAAAGGCTCAGACTCTGCTGATGTCTTCCAATCACCCTTCGAGATCTGCAGGAAGGACTCCCATGGGAGAGGGGAGTAAGTTGGGGTTTTTATCCCCGATGACTTTCCTGTGGGGTCACCCAGGATGAAGACCCTGTCTCCTATCTAGTGGTCCTCCCCACAGAGCTCTCTCTGATCTGGCAACCACTCTCCTCGTGTCCCCCCAGGCCTCCTGGCGCTAAGGGGAGTGACAACTTCATTGTCACTAGCCCTGGGTTCTGCACTCTGTCTTGGGGTTTCCCTATACTTTTCCCATGTCTTTGCCCAGATAACTTCTACTTCACAATTCCTTCTACTTTATTAGTTGTGATTGTCAGCTTGGTTACACAGATAAGTTATTATAGAAATTGAGCCTCCATGACAGATTCTGGAGATTCCAGTGGTGAATGGTCACCATCTCTCACCTCACCTGGTTCCCACGGGTGGTCCCTCAACTAAATGACTCCTGTGTTACACTTAACTCCAATTGCCAGGTTTGAATGTCGCGTTTCTTGCTAGAGCTCCACTGACACACATGCCACCCAAACTGGCTCAGACAGGCATGGAAGGCTTTGGGAGCCTTCTTTCTTGCACGATGTAAATGAGCAAGCAGTTCTGACCACCACAGGTAACATCTTACAGATGTGGAGAAACTGGTCTTAAGTGATGAATGTCTGTTTAGGGAGTTAGAACAATGCTGCTCCCTGCAACTATTTGATCAGCAACCCTGGTCCTCTACCACTTCTGGACTTCCAATGATGTGCTCTAAATACTGTTTTTGTTTTGTCCACTTTAAATCTAATTTTCTCAGCTTTTGAAGTGGAGAGTTACTTAACATGTAGGTTCATTTAAAAAAATATATTTTTATTGATTTCAGAGAAGAAGGGAGAGGTAGAGAGAGACAGAAACATCAATAATGTGAGAGAATCATTGATTGGTTGGCTGCCTCTTGCATGGCTCCTATTGGGGATCAAGCCCACAACCTGAGCATTTGCCCTTGACCAGAATCAAACCTGGGACACTTCAGTCCTCGGGCGGATGCTCTATCTGCTGAGTCAAATTGGGTAGGGACACTTTAGGTTTTTAATAGCTTTGTGAAACTGTTTCCTCATCCACACTATGACTGTTTTCTCACAACATTGCCTACCACCTTTTTAATTTGTGCCTCCTGTGACCAGAAACTGAATCTCATTATTGCTTTGATTTGAATTTTGCTAATTACTAGTACAGATAACTGTAATCACGTCAATTTACTGGATATTTATATTTTCTTCTCGGTAGAATGCTTTTTGCATCTATTCCTCATTTTTCTATAGAATTACTTGCATTTTCTTTATTGGTGAGTTGAAACAACTTTAAAACTTTGGGTAGTGATCGTTAGCTTGTTAGATGCATTGCAATTTTTTTCTCCCAAGTACCTTAGTTTTTAACTTCATTTCATGATGAATTTTGTCCAACATTCTACAGTGTTGATGGTGTTCAGTTTCTCACTTTCTCATTTATGGCATGTGTATTTTGAGTGATATGGCTCATTGAGTGAGGGCCAAAAGTTGTCTGTCATTTGGCTCTTTGTCCAGGAATTTTAAACTTTAGGCATTAAACCTACAACCTTTCTTTAAATTTTGTAGCATGAGCTGAGCAATTAAGGCTTTAGCTTTTTTTTTTTTTTTTTTTTTTTTTTTTTTTTTTTGCACGTAAGTGTCTAATTTAGTCAAAAGCTGTTTTAAATTTAGGGAAATGTATCCTTATGGTGGTCCTGTAGAGCTGGCTTCTTTTGTCTTAATGCTTTTAAAGCTTCTGTCATTTTGGTGAGTAATTTATGGGTCATTTTTGTTAATTTATCCTTCATTTTTCCATGAGAGAGAGGATGTTAAATAGCATGTTGGCTCACACCCTACAATCTGGGTTCCACAGAGAGACTGGCTTCAGGAAGATGTGATGGTACAGCCCACAGAGAAGTAAGGCATATGTGATTGGCTTGGGATGCCTGGGAGGGGGCAGAGATTTGGTGCAGCTACATCCCCCACCCCCACTGGTAATGGCTGCCCTGCACGGGCAGCTAGGATTTCCTTGGCATTTCCCCAAACATCTAAAGTTCAAAGGGCCCATGCTCTTCTCTGTGGTTCACAGTACACATCATGTTGCACCCTTGGTTGAACAGAAGTGGGTACCAGTTGCCATGCCCAGGCCAGACCCCCAGCCCTGCTTGCAGGTTGCCCAGGATAGGACCTGAACTGCAGTGGCATTGGTCCTCTCAGAAGTCCCAGGGGAATTGGTGAGATCCATGACAGGATTGGGGGTTGGGAGTTGTAGATTCTAAGCCCAGTTCCACTATAAATTTGATTCTGTGTAGTTGTTAACTGTGGGGGCCAGATAACTTCTACTTCACAATTCCTTCTACTTTATTAGTTGTGACTGTCAGCTTGGTTACACAGATAAGTTATTATAGAAACTGAGCCTCCATGACAGATTCTGGAGATTCCAGTGGTGAATGGTCACCCTCTCTCACCTCACCTGGTTCCCACGGGTGGT